ACATCCGCGACCTCGATCGGTGGCGGCGGTGCCGGTTTCACCGAGTTGTCGTCCTCGGCGACTTCGAAACCGATCGTGGCTCCAATTTTCTGGCTCGCCTGTTTGAATGAGTCTGATAGCATCACCTGGCGACATGCAATCAGACATGCCAATTTTAATCTTCAGTTATAAAATCAGCATAATCATTGTTTCTTAAATAAAAAAAATATATTTAAGAATTGTTATATTATATATAATATGAAGTTTAGTAATGAAGGTTGTTGTTAATGATCAACGATTATAGTGCATCTCATATATGTATTTGAAATATTTTTTATATAAATGATTATAAATTCTAAGAAAGAAATACTTTTTAAAAGAAACGAAAGAAATGAATAAAATATATAATTTTTGAAGAAAGAGTTTTTTCTCACCTGCACAACATTAATGCACATGGACGTGAGTGCCAGACCAAACACTAGGTATACTATCGAACACATCATGTATATGGGATGCTAAATCAATCAATCAATAAATCTATTAAGTTCTGAGAATTATGAATCTCGCGATATGTTTGTACAACTCTATTAATTTAAAAAATTAAAGAAATGATTCACTAAAAAAAATAAGCTTGTAAAAAAACAACAAACACACGTAAACGGTGATACACGGTGATAAACGGTGATATAACTTCTTGAGAGAACCTTTATATATCAAAAAGCTTACCATCTGAACGCCACCGTGAAAAAAAGAAACATAAAAATAAATTAATTTTTGCTATATAAGAGATAGAACCTGTTGTAATATAGCAAATAAAATTTGAGATTGGCGAATTCAAAAAGGCGCTAATAGCAAATTAAGCGGAATTTACGAATTCCTATGCAGTATAATATAATAGTAATAGCGAGTATAAATAATTGAGAGTACTATTTAAATGCGTTAATTAAGTAAATTCCTACAAATTTCACTCGAATAAATCTCATTAATTAGAATCTTAGTTTTGTACATTTACCTCCCTCTTGTCATGTACTGTTATTTATTACTCATGTCTATCGACATTAATGAAGGAATCTCAATATAAATTTTAATTCAGAAATCTTATTATTAATTACTTATTAATTATTAATTAATTGGTTCAATTGAATGATGTGTGACTTGGAGATAATTACCTTCGGTACGTAATCGCCGAAGCCAATAGTACTCATGGAGATGAAGACAAAGTAGAAACTCTCGAAGAAATTCCAATCTTCCCATAAGGAGTATAACGTGGCTCCTATGAAGATATAAACCAGAAGAATAACAATCGCCACTGAGATTGGCAGATTAAACTCGTCATCGATGGCAAATGCCGACAATGCCGGTGTACCCGGCGTTTCTGATGCATTAGCATCCAAATTTAGGACTGTTTGCGGCTGTTGGATTTGTTGCCTCTGTATCTCCTCGATCTCTTCTGGATTCATCTGTGATGGCCGACGGAATTTTGCGAGATCATAGACGAGTTGCATGCCCTTCATGACTTCCTACGAGTTCCACAATGAATAAGATAAAATTATTAATCAACTGGGTAATTAGCAGATAAACTAATCAAACAATAAAAGAAGAAAATAATGCTGCAAAGATAAAATATATGTAATAAGAAATATAGAAATAAAATATACGTATTAGAAATGCGTAATACGATAAATTGTAGAAAGAATTCAGAAATTAATTTTTTTTTCGAAATAATACTTTTTAGTGTTTGAATTATCTTACCTGAACGGGCGCAGTGCGACGAACTTTGCGACAGCTACCAGTATAATATAGCCTTCTTACGAATGCCCACAGGAACTTTATACCGCGCGTAAATAATTTACCAAAGTCGGCTAAAATGATAAGAAACATTGGAATACCAAAAATGGCATACACAATTGTGATGGCTTTTCCTGTATCCGTACTTGGCGAGATATGTCCATATCCTGAAATAAAAAATTGTTCACTTACACACAATTTATCAATTACAATATGATACTTTCTTGATACATTTGTTTATGTTATATTTATTATTAAATTATGCAACTCAATAATTATAATGTCAATATTAAAATTTATATTTATAGCGTATTAATTTTGTTTACATTTAATGTAGTCTATATAATATATAGAATAATATATATGATAAATATATGATATATATGATAAATCTATAAATTATATATATAATTTTTATTTAATTAAAAAATTATTCATGTATTTATATACAATATTCATCATATATTTATATATAATATTTATTACATATAATTATATAAATACATATAATAATAATAATTTTATTACAAAAAAATAGTTACATATATTATCATGTTTAATTGCACAATATGGAACACGTACATGGAACAGAATTGTAATAGTTGTAGTTTATTTTGTTTGCATCGATCTCTGAATAGTCGTTGCAAAAACAGCGCATTTACGCATCGCGAGTAAAATCTAAGTTTAGATTATTCCAGCAATGGAACTAAGACGGTTGTTTTCTCGTAAACTGACTTCGATTGCCTTGGCTTGTATGATTCAGCGGATGCAATTGAATGGATACACTTATACGATCCATTCAGATGTACTTTTTCTGCGAGTTTATTGTTTGATTGGAAAAATGGCGAATTACGTAATGTGAGTCAACGACGTGATCCAAATTTATTGCATGCACTTAGCGATCTAAATGCTATACACAATACATTACTTAAACGGAATTTAAAACATAATATAAATTGTTAATTATTTGTTAATTATTTAACAAATAATAAATTTGTTACTTATTTTTTAATTTACTATTATAAACTGTAATAATATCTACTTCTTATATTATTAAATTATATATAATTTATTAATTTATAATTAATTTATATATATATATATATATATATATATATATATATATATATATATTATTATTATATTATATATATATATATATATT